TAACAAATAAAGTAAAACAATAAATAAATAAAAGCATTTTTTATCATACATTCAAATGCAAAATATTGTAGAGACACTGAAGAATTGTCAACTTTTTGGTATAATTTTTGGTAAAATTGGTATAACAACATTTTGAATGCGAGTTTTGATAAATGTTATATTGGTCAAACAAGTATCCACATTAAATGTGTATTCAAAGACCATACATATTTTTTAAGTGCAAAACACCAAAGAGTGTAAAATTAAACTACAATAAATCTCTAAAGAGGAAAAAACCCGTACACTGAACAAAACATTTTAGTTATTGAACCTAAACTGGACAAATACAGTGTTATAAAATAGCTCCGGTTTATCCGTATACAACATCAACATGCAAATTTGGAAAAATAAAAAAATACAGAAAATTAAAAGAAAATTAGAAAATTTACAATTTTATACAAACGGGAAAAGAAATATTATTATAGTTCAATTTGTTTATTATATAGCGTATATTATACTTTATCCGTGACCATGGCCCGAGACATGTTAGTTTATTTTATCAAATTAGAGAGTCAAAAATGTTTAATTATTTAACATATTTATAATTTAATTTTAAAATATGAATTATACAAAATATTAAAATCCGTTATATGTTTCCAGGTTAAACTGATGATTTCATCAATTTTTTTTTAGATTAGCCTAATTTAAAACAAATGTTTTTTATATTTAATTTCGTTAATTAAAAGTCAATAAAAGGGTTTCCTCCTAAACACAACCCATCTTGAGTTTTTGCCATTTAACTGTGTCAGAACAAGAGGAGATTCTTCTCAAAGGTGCTTATTTCCCAACTCTTTCACAAGTAGTTTTGGCGCTGTTCCATGGTAAGCCCCTGAGCCCGTTTATCTTGGGTCTTTTGAGGTAGTTTACAAAGGATTTGTTAGAAGACCGTGATATGTAATGAATATAGTATGAGTGCCGTTTCTCTCCAGTGAGAAGCTATGTAAAGTTTTAGTCTTATTTGTCTTCTTGGGAAATAAAATAGAAATTAAAAATAGAGGCTGATAATATTAAAAGCATACTTATCATAAAAAAGATTTACAATAAATATGTTCTTTGATATTTAATCTTGTGTTCATCATCATCAAAGTTTTCTAGCCAAAAACATGTTGTTGTCAAAACGTAATGGTGCTATAAATTGGAATTTTCTAGATGCAAAAGCTTTTTTTTCGGAATTAGAAGAGGTTTGATCAGATTTAGTAGTAAATTATGTAATTTTAATTAGGTAGGCACTTGGTGAAAATTGTGTATATTTGGAAACAAATTGAGGCAGGTAAGTAAAAATGTCCACCTAATAAGTTAAAGTTACATGATGCTTGTTATATTTAATAATGTTGTGTAGTCAAATCAGTCCATAGATTATCTGAGAGTTATTTTATTATTGCTCTCATTTTAAAGGAATAAGTTTTTTTTTAGTATACTACCTATGGATTACAGGCCACTTATTTTCCTTTTTACGAAGAACTTTCTGGAGGATTTTGGGTTGCGTTGATGGATTTTAACTAGTTAGTTATTTTACCAATGGGGTGAGTTTTAGTCAAAAACTTACACATTTGTTTATTTTTACGAATAAAGTCACCTGTAACCTTTCTTAGGAAAGGTATTAAATTCGGTGATAATATGATTTCAGACTTAAATCAACAGAAATAATATATTTTGAGAGGATAATGTTGTTTAAATATTTGGAAGTTTAAAATCCAAATATATTGTTTGAAAAATGTAATAATTTGTAAAAAATGTAAATTCTAATTTTAGAGTATTTAATGTAAGATAATTTGATATATTTTTTCTGCTACTTGTCTTTGAAAAGTAAACATTCATTCAGTATCATTCATTTGATAGGTCGTATAAAATATCTAGAGATACTCTGTAGATGGCAGTTACATTACAGGTGCTACAGCCCGGTTGAATTATTTATTCCGTCACATTTTGTTAAACTTCCGACGTATCTCTTTTAGCAGTCTCTCGGGAGAGCCAATGCCGTCAAAATGTCACTGAATATAAATATTTTAACACGAAAAATAGAGGGACCAACATCATAATTTGTAAATGTTCAGTATTTTGCCACACAAATTACTTACAGCTTAGATATTTTGGTGAATTTAGAAAAAAGTTCTTTGTTTACACTCGTCTTATATTTAATACATTTTTTTCTGTCTAAACCTTTTACAGGAACTGCTGAGGTTCCAATACAGTATATTTAATAAATACATCCTATAAATAAATTTCGCAGCTAACTCTCTAAAGATAATTCCATAGGCCTGATTTTATCACCGCTAAAATATTTGTTTTTATGTCAGCATCAGTCTATATTTAAAAAAAATTGGACGTTCGAGGAGTTATATTTGCTGCTAGGGGCTCGATAATAATGCAATGTTTAACACGCAAGCGAAAACAGTATAATCATTCTCCATAAATAGGATGTGAGACATTTTAATTTACAGGTTTTTCTTTATGGTACCCGTAACCATTAAGCGCATAACAAGACTTCAATATACTCGTAATAAGTTAAAAAAAAAAAAAATAAATTATGTATTTTGTAATTATTTTTAGATAATTGAATTTATCTTCTAACATATATGTTTATATATTTATTCCCATCAGGCAAAAATTACTTAACTAAATTGACTGACAATTAATTCCCTTTGATGATGAGTCGATAGCACGACGTATTTCGAATCCATGAAAGCAATGTCGAAGGTTCGAATCTTGATGTCTGCCACTAAATGTAATCAGTACAGTTCATCTTTGTACTGCACTGGCTCGCCCCTTGCTTTAGTAATAATACATGGTAATCATAATAGTAATAATATATGGTAATAAAAATACGTAATCAAGTATTTGTCATGTATGTTTGGTTATTTTTTTGGTTTAAAGTCATTGGAATTCTCGATTCAGTTTTGCGAAGTTGTTTCTTTTTTGAGGTTAACGGCCTCTTTTGACCTTGCATTTGCCCGTCCCTTTGGACTATTTGCCCGTGCGTGGAACATTTACAGTCAACAGTGGAACGTATCCAGCAAAGCAAGGTGTGAGCCAGTACAGTACGAAGGTGAATTAACCGTACTGATACAAAGTTTAGGGTAGTGACTAGGATCCGAATCCACGACTTCACTGTGGCCAGAAGTCCGTGTCGCTACCAACTGATGAGTCCTAGACTCACCTTAACGTCTACTGTTTAACAGTTAGACAGTAATAATATACCACTGACAAAAACGTCTAAGATTGATAAAATTGGGGTAGAACAAGACCTTTAAATGTTCCACAAAATTAAAAGCGATTTTCGTTTTGAAATTCGAAGGGAAACAGCATGTAAATAATTACAACCCAAAAAATATATACCAACAATTGTTATATAATTTATCATAACGTATGCAATTGGATAGACTTATAGAAGTCATGTTGTGGGCAGATGTACAACTCCCATGCGAATTTCCCAAGATAAAATCTACCGGAATGAAAATAAGATCCCACAATTTGCAAGTTGTTGCTTCGAGGATTCAACCACTTCGCAGTTCTTGAAATATTGCTTAAGTTGTAAAAGCTCTCAGGATGGGAATTGCACAACATTTATTTATTTGTTGAACTCAGAACATGTGTTGTAGGAATATTGAAATGTAACGAATAGTTAAATTAAATTATTCAATTTTATACTCATTTGCAACTTTCTGAACAAATGTACATGGTTGATGACTATTGACTGCACAACATTATCTTTCAACTTCATAAGCTTTGTTAATTGTTTTTATAAAATTAATATGTAGTGAGGTAGGTTTAATTAACAATGTATAATTATTTTATACATTTTATACGTTTATTCTATACGTTTTACTATTTTTCTTTTACATAAGCATGGACTAATACAAATATCCTGCATTCCAAACAATCTGTATATTACAGCGTTGGTTGCTATTATGAGGTTTTTATGATCATTTATAAATCATCGTAGACATGAATGTAGCCACAACTACTTTGTAATACTAAAAACTTCATTAACAACTTCTTACCTACTTAATTATGTTTTGAAAATCTAAAAATCTTATGAAATGAACGGAATGAAATGCCCTAAGTTTTTTATCCTTACAGATAAAGCACAGTTAGTTTTAATCAAATACATTTAATCAATAATTTGTTAAATTTAGTTCAAAATAAATGGGGAGGATTTTAATACGTTGCATGTTTACTGTGTATACTTAGTGTTGACCTAATTTGTTACTATTGATGGTCCTGATTTCAGCGCAGAAAACTGCAAACATGTTGAAGTTTTCTTAGTTAGGTCTCAGTAGTAAAACATCGTTAGAGTGCTGTTTTCCAGGAAGTTTAACTTTATTTTTCTTCTGAGAGGACCTGATTGGTCATAGAAAACAAGTTAGTTGTTATCACAGTCAAGGACTGCACTTTAACTTTAATTAAGGAGATATTTTTCAAAAACAATCTTAAAATGTGCTATAGTTTTAAAGTTATTGTTAAAAATAGTGCATTTCTTCATTTACTGAAATAATTACGAGTCCAAGTAGTATTACATGCAAATTACAATCAATTATTATATATAAAACTTTCTACGCTATGTTGAGTAATAAAAACTAGCTAACTAAATAAAAAGTCTCGCCATGGTTTTTCTCAATTTGATTACGATATAATTTTTTAGAACTGTTTTGTAATTTTCAATTTAACCTGAGCCTATTACGTTCTTGACACTCTTAACTGATTCGTGATTGGTATATCACATAGCTCTATGCCACCAAGTTCTCGTAAAGTAGATGTTAAGCTATTCAAGTGGCCTTTAAACACCCAAAAAATATGGGATTGGTAGAATTTAAGCCAGTAACTCCAGGATTGAGGTCCAACGTTCAATCCTTAGATATGCCCAATCCCAACACGATAATAATAAGGTACTAATATAACTTAAAAAACAACCAATTGCACAAACATTTTTCTTTTACAAGCATGGACTAATACAAATATCTTGCATTCCAAACAATCTGTATTCAATGGTAATTTTCGACAAGAAAGATTTGAGTTCCTTTTTGATAGTCACTATGGTTTGACCATTTGCAGAGCAAACTCTGAAACGAGACAAAACATCAATTTCTCCTTCATATAGGCCTTGTTTTTAAGTCGCCAGTACGACTGGAAGAAAGGAACAAAGTTGATCTTTTGAAGATCCACAGTTGACCCATCAATCGTGTATTCTTTCTGAAAAAAGAAACTGCAATCATTATAAACATACTACAAATCAAGCGTTCAAGATATAGGCTACTAATAAGTTGTATTTTTTTATCACTGGGTGATAGAAGAAATATATTGTCCTTTAATACTTTTACTTAAATGGTGACCATACGAAATTAGGTATTTTAAGCCAAGTATAAGTACACATGAGTGTAGGATGAGTGGCGCGATCTTGTACTCTTGTGACTAAGGCATGTCCCTGAGACACAGCTGTTACTTGTATACAGCCAATGGCTACTACGGGACCTATATTTTTAATAGTCGAATCCAAACCACATTTTTGCCTTGCTATTGCCGAATTAGTCTAATCATCAGGATGGTACTGTGGAAAGTCGTAGTGCTTAATAATGCGGGCGTTAATCCACACCAGGGAGTATTGCATCCACAGATCATGCCTATAAATACAGGGTTATTCTAAATGATGGACCCATTTTTAATGCTTTATAATTTTTATACTATTAAACTTACCGCTATAAAATACACATCAAACGAAAAAGCAACTCAAAGAGTTTATGCCTTCCAAAGAAATATCATTTAACAAAATCGATCCAACAGAACTGTAGATTTAATTGTACAAAGTTAAAAAGTAATCTCCAACTTTTTTTACCACTAGCAATTCGGAGGTTACTTGACGTTTTTGCAAATAACTTTTAAATGGTGAGGAAATTGACCAAAGTGGAAGGTATTATTCCGAAATAGAATAAAATTTCCTACAATCTACTATTACGCATATCTTGAAAATACTCAATAAATGTAGCCTAAATTTGGCTTAAAATAAAAAAGTGTGAAATTTAATGTTTGCTATGTTTATTGTCTACATTGAAGACGGGGATTTTCAATTTATTTTCTTTTTTTTCAATTTTTGGTACCTTTCTTGAGTATTTTCAAGATATGCATAATAGTAGATTGTAGGAAATTTTATTCTATTTCGGAATATTACCTTCCACTTTGGTCGATTTCCTCACCATTTAAAAGTTATTTGCAAAAACGTCAAGTAACCTCCAAATTTCTAGTGGTAAAAAAAGTTGGAGATTACTTTTTAACTTTGTACAATTAAATCTACAGTTCTGTTGGATCGATTTTGTTAAGATGTGTCTTTGGAAGGCATAAACTCTTTGAGTTGATTTTTCATTTGATGTGTATTATATAGCGGCAAGTTTAATAGTATAAAAAATATAAAGCATTAAAAATGAGTCCAAAATTTAGAATAAACCTGTATACACAATTCGTGACCTCTAAGTAGCTGGATTATAGGACGACACCACGGTCCCAGTGGCTATATCCGTAGGTTACCATTATACAACTTCCAATCAAATGTATCAGTATTTTATATTCTTGTGGGATAAAATGAGTAAAAGGGGCAAACTGATCTAATGGTGGAATGCAGGCCTTCGACATTTGGTGTAAATCCCGCTATTAACCAATGACCATAGCTTTGGCATATAAGATATAGCCTGAACTAGTGTGGTCACTGGCAAGAGACGTCCTAGAATGTAAATGACTGGCATAGAAAGGTCAAATCATTTACTTTACCAGCACACCCCTAGCTTTACTTGAAACCTACAGAAGCCCTTGTTGAACAATTATACGTACCGGACGGAACGGGCAGGTGGTAGGAAGGTCGGTGCCGTTAGTAAAGTAGTCAAAGGAGTTTTCGTTGCGCTTTAGTAGATCACAGATGTTGGCTTTCTTAAATGTGAAATAATACTCGCAAGATGAGGGGTCTTCTTTAGACTTGCACCGGTACATCTCCATCACTATCTGAAAATAAGGTTTGGTTTGATTAAATAGCCTGAGCTATGTTTAGCTATGAAAAAAGCTGTTTACGACCTCAAATTGAAGACCAATAATGTTTTACATTTTAAATATATTTCTAAGAAAACTCAAATGTATATTTTAAATAATTAAAATTTGTAACTAGAATTTACTAGTTTTTACATACATTGTTGTTGTTTTTTTTTCACTAAAAGTATTCATGTACATATTTTTATACCCCTTCCTTTAGTTGTAAGAGCGTTTAATGTAGTAGAGGATAGTCTTAGAAAAAAATTTACAGAAAATTGTCAACGTTTTCTGGTTCAAACCTTCAATGAAAAACATTTGATGGAAGTGTTTTAAATGACGCATTTTTCATGAATATTTTAGAAATGTTATTAAGTATCAAAAGTTTTATTTCGTACTGTAGAGTATTCATTCCAATAAATTATTATAATATTGGTTAAACCGTATTTATAATTTTCTACCTAAATGGCGTTTTTTAACAGTCTGTAAAACTATTATTAGACATATTAAATACTTCATATTGATACTTCTTCATCCGGTAGCTCAAACCGTTTAGTTTACACTAATGGAAACAGCTGTGTTGATGTTTGTGCTAATGGACAACCTACTTATTCTTGTAAATAAACTCCAAGTTGGATTTTTCTATAAACACGTTTTTCGTCAAGAAAAGGCTAAGTGCGTAACTAAGTGAACTAAAGTCAGTGACTCGAGCATAACGGTTATTTAGGATGTCAAACACATAGTTCATTCTAAAAAAGTCTATTAACTAAAAAGAACTATAGATGCAGTCTCCATTGTAACAAGAGAAATGATGCACGTGTGGGCTGAAATAGAGTTAATCTTATGGACGTCTGTAGAGCAAGAAATGTTTGTCGTGTTGAATCTTACTAGAGCAATGTATAAACCTTTTCCGATGTCAGGAATTCAACAAAATAAATAGTTTTTGTACCTTTTCTCATTTTTTTATTTCATAACAAAAATCCACCATTATTGTATGAAAACCTGTTATATACTTACTGTGATCGGTTTGTCGAATTTTTCTTTGATGTTAATTTTGCCACTAAGCTCGTATTTGTTGAACCCACTTTTGCTGATCATGAGGTTCTTGAACTCTATCGGGGATGACTTGGGCTCTGGACATGGTTCCAATTTTTCAATCTGAGCTTGTAGTCGAGGCTGAAATCGGTTAGCATAAGTAAAAATTAAACTTTGAGCATTCGTTATTAGTATCTTAAGTATGTGTAAAGATAGTAGAAGCAAATTACATTTTTGTTGTTGTTTGGCTAAGTTGTTAATGCTCATGATAGAGTTTGTGGAACAACAACCTTTAATTGGGAAGACTACAATAATGTATTGAGTTGGTGAAAATAACAAAGGTAACTCGTCAGTAGAACAACGCACACAAAATAAAGTAACCTTATAACGTTGGTAAACACAAACAAAACCTATATATATATATATATATATATATATATATATATATATATATATTCAATATATTATTAAATATATTATTAAATCTATTATTGAACGCAAACTCGTGAAAGGTAACTATTTTAAAGATTAAATTTAACATTATATTAGATAGATACAGTTCATAATGTGCATGTCCATTTAAATTAAGCACATGGGGCTGTTTCTCTTAATATAATATATGAGTTATCTCAGTTAATATTAATTTACATTATTGTTTGCCTCAATATTATAATAATGTCATATTTGGACTATAAAAGTTCACTTTATTAACATAGCATATTTGAACGTGACCCATTGTGATTTTTTGTGTTTATTTGTATTGCCATTTTTATTTTAATACGCAGTAACTGTCCAAACCCTGGTCTCGTTAATACTGGGTCCAGAATAGATCACATTTTGGAATCGAATCAGTGATCATCAGATTTGGATTTGAGCAATATACCACTTTACAGTATATTAATAGCATGTAACTATAAACCTGAATATAGTTTAAATCCTAACCACTCATTAGAGTGATTTACCTAATTTATACACAAAACTGAGCAATCACATAAAATTTACTTCTACTAATTAAATTTGAGTTTAAGGGAACAAATATAATTTATTCTCAATCTCCTAGTAGCGCTAAATGCTGGGGGCAATATCACGGTGGTTGTCTAATGTAAGAGTGCTTTTTCAGCGGCAAACCAATCGGCACACCCACAACAGTTCCGGTCTGACGTCACGATCACAGACTATCGCTCGATCATCACGCTGCAATCTTCAGCCAAACGGGGGAATGGCACGGAATAAGTGCATTAGGTTGAATTGTTCATTTACACAATGTGATATATATGTTACAATGAACAACTCATTTAGTTTGTTACGAATATTTTGAGTTTATTTTAATGTTTTAACCTTTTCTGGCTAACAACATATCTTTTTAGGTTAAGGATCTAGATTATATGAAAATGCCTAAAGCACAGTGGTAGTTTCGTTCATAGTCAAATACTTTATTTTTTTAAACGCTTTGTTGGTACATATTATGGAATATTTAAATACAGTCCCTTGCTTGTGTATTAGTACTGAGTACCTCAAAAGAAAATGTTTGTGTAATTAATATATATTCTGGGCTTTCTTGAATAAAAGTGGTGGAATTAAGTTGAATATTTTTATTTGACGTATTTTTTTTAGAATGTCAAATTGAAATTGAAGCTAAAAATAATTGCCACAAATGTTTTATTGTAGTTTACGCAACGATTGCGTAAAGATAGTGTTAACGTCATGAATAAAAAATTTAAGGTGCGAGCCTTGGTGAAAGCCATGCAATAAAACATTGTACCAAACACTAGTTGCACCATTCAACAATTAAATTGGCCTGAACAGCTCATTAGTTTAAGTTTGATTCATTACAATTTTACTTCTTCTCTCTCAATCCTTGCACCTCATTGGTCCGTTACCCGTGTTGTTATGAGTGAAACTATGCTGTTAATAAAGGAAACAATACTGTTATATGAAACTTTTCAATTCTAAGAACTGTACTCAAACGGCTACTTAAAAAAACCGTCGTAGGTAAATATTTTTAATTAAAGCATAACATAATAGATATTTTTATTTCAATTCATGGCCCTATTCAGTGGTATTAAACTAAAATCAATAATTATATATGAAACTACAGTAGTTTGGTTTTACTAGTAAATTATTTTTATTATGATTTGTCACATCAATTCAATAAAGGAATCTATTCAGGTTCATAAAATACTCTTCAGATCTATACTATTTTAGTTATTAGGAGAGTAGTATTACACAATTGTCGTCAGTTTGTTGCTGAAGATACTCTTTCATCAACCCAGTACACATCAGCAAATAAAGAGTAATTCTTATGGAATAAACTAAAAACAAACAGTAGAAAATTAAAGCTTTGGACTGGTATCATGGAGATCAGAAATGTCCATCACAACCCATTCTAAGCGTCAAAACTATACAGGTTAAGAAACACAACTCAAATTATAAGTAACAAGATATACTGTTTAAGGACAACAAGCTCATAACTATTTGTTATGAATTATTTACTTTACTAGTAAACACGTTGCTCGAAATCGAGCAATTGCAAAGAAGTAAAGTAGTTATTTAAAAACAAATAAAAGTCATCATAATTTCCGATGAGTTTAAAAGACTTTGAATTTAAAAAGAAATAACAGCAATTAAATTATACTGCTGATCAAAATGTAAAAAATGTTGTTCTTCATAAGGATAACATAGGAACTTTAACAGCCACTGGGGCATAGCCCAAGGAACTTTTTCAAAAATGTAAGGCCAGTTTGCAAATCTACGTGACTCGCTCTTTCCAATGAGACGTCAATGGATAAAATCGGTTAAGAAATGGCGGAGGAGTTCAACCGACAAAGTTTCATGTAGCGTATTAATTATATAGATTGTCGAACAGCTGATATACATTTCATTGTTGTCTATAAGGTTTAGATTTATTGTGAATAAGACTCAACATGGAGTTTTCACACGCTCAAAGAGTATTTGTTGTAGGACAATACGATACGAAAAGTAAATTATTGGTTTTCTGGAAAGAATGCTTTGGAATTATGTTTCTACGTGTAATTCCAGTATTGAGTAAATTAACTATTAATATACTTGATAATGATTATTCAATCCGGATGTGTAGAAAAAGAATCGTAGGCCTGCAATGCATACTCATTGAGCTTGCAAATCCTCATGTTGAGTCTATTCTTAATGAATTCCCTGTAACACTAAACCGTGTATGTAACAATGCAATAATGTAAATCAGCTGATCAGAAATGAAGTAAATCATACAGGGGTGTACCTGATAAAAGCCTCTATTATTCTTAAACCGTGTATCTCAGTACTTGTCATTTAGGTTGCGTAAAAAACCCCTATATATCACCTTAAACCTGGAGTATAAGCTTTTGGTTAAACTATACCCTTACCATATTCTTCGTGATGGTACCCAATGGGCTCGCCCCATAAACTACGGTAACGGCAGCTAACCACACCGTACATGTCCTCATAGCCATGTTGTGTGAACGATGGAATGTTATTAGCCAAGTGACGTCACAGCTGACTCTGATGACCGTCCACAATGGCTTCGTTAGTCATCAGCCGATAACGGTCTAGATAACACTGATGATAGATCACTACCGACAAATGTGTGTTAATGCTGTTTGCTGTTCCATGAATGTGACCTCTCAGTAATAATATGTGTTCCAGATGTTAGGGTCTAGAAATAGTTATACGCTTGTAAAACCTTTAATTTGGTTTGGTTCATGTAAAGCTATTTACGGGACATAAACATAAACATAGTTAAGCTATAAATTAATAAAACATATATTAAGACGTGTTTTATTTTAATTGGAGACTACAATTACATTTACACCGAGTAGATAATGTTTGAAGTTGCTTTATATATCCAATTATTGCTTCATATTGCTAGTTAAGGCAAGATATTTAACATTGTAAAAGTCTAAAAACGTACTCGTTATATTAAATCGCAAAAATAGTGTTGTAGTTTATAAGTGATTCACAAGCTTATTAGTTTTTATTTCAACCAACAAACCAAGTTTCAGAACTTCTTTATAGTATTCGCGTTTTATCTCAAACATTTTAAGAATAATCCAGAACTTACATTTTCGTCTCCAATAATACAATCGTTTTTTTGAGAAGAAAAATAACAGTCTCCCTACGTACCGCAACGATTAATAGTAGGCCTATTTGTAAATGTAAAATGTTTGTTCGTGCGTTATATCCTTTGTGTTTTGAATGCTATTTGACGACTCTATAATGGATGAAGCATTCTTGTTTTATTACCAGACGATGCCTGAATGAATATGCGAACATGTCGTGAGTTTGACTACCAAACGTTGAACTATTGACGTACCTTATATGTACCTTTTGTGCCTAATATGTACCTATGTACCTTATATTTATCTAATTAAACAGCTCAGGGATTAAATCATGAATTCTAATGAAAAAATTTAACAATAACAAATAATCAGCAAAGGAAGATTTTTGTATTAGATTATGGTATTGGTTGTAAGTCCCTTGTAGTAAACAATGGTTTAAAATGTTGCACTATTTTCGGTTGGCAATATGTTGCCTAGTTTTATACACTGATGTGTATCAAATACAAGTGGATACCTTAAATATGCCAAAATTAAAAGTTATTAGCAGTAAATAATGAAGTTAAATTCTACCTCTTTAACTTAACGTTATTTAATTGTTTGATATCCATTAGACAATGGAAGTATCATGCGTGCTGATGTGAAATATTGTTCCCTTTAAGTATGTGTTGTTTTCAACAACCTTATCACTTTAAGTGGTAGCCAGTGATGTTGCCAAAGTCGATCTCCAGGACTTATTCGGAGCCACGTACAAGAACAATTAATTTCCTTCAGTCTTGGAACGTGGGGAGAAGCCTTTAATTGGATCTAAGTTTTAAAACTTATCTTCAAACTTGTTCAGATAATGGGGTTTCTAATATTTATTTTATAAAATTATTAATTTTTGAACGGAGCTAATTTATTTTATATTTATGTAACCGGTTAGCTTACAAAGAATTGGTTAAATTGACATAAAGTATGTGTTCTTATGATTTTATCAACTAATTTGTTCGAGGGCTGCTGTAAATTTGGTTATTAGTATATAAAAAATTGTTATTTACAAGTATCCATACAAGAACGTATTTATTCACTTGGTATTCTTGTACCTCGATGTTTAGTAGAAAAATTACAGATGGGGGGGGGGGGAGGATAAGAGTAAAAAATTGGAAGAATTGCATTATTGCACGTCTTAAGAAACTTAAAATGTTTACAAAAGCCAATCCTCTATAGCGAAAAATACAGATTTTTTAGACAAGTGCATTATTATTATAATGAATGCTAAGATCCTACTGATCGCGAAACGAAAATGCAATTAAATGTATTTTTGACAATTTATGCTGTAATAGTCTGCATATTTCACCACCTGAATTTTAATAGTGACTTTTAAATGTGTTTTTTTTTATTTTACCATAAGAAAGTTAAGTAATATCAAAAAATATCGTTTTTAGCAAAAGCAATCTATTTGGAAATCAGGGCCTGGTAATATATTCCCTGAACTATATAGTGATTTAGTTTGTAATACTGTTTTTAGCAACCAAAGTAAATAAATAGCAAACATATTTTATTTAAATAGTGACTAAGTATTAACTAATTTAACAAATAGTTATGATAACTATTTTTTATATTAAATATATATTAAAAATTTTCATAAACACAGTATAACGAAAAATAATAATAAGGATTTACCCACTAGTCATTACCATAACTCAAGGAATGTATGTTTACTAGTATACTGTATAGAACGTATTAGCCTAGGCTGTTCTAACTTCATAGTAATCATTCCTTAACTTCAGACATAAAGTTGTCTAGACAATTTTACATTCTTTGCATAACTGAAGAGGTACGTATATGTTATTCAGTCATGCAAATGATACTTATCTGAAAGAGCTCAAATATTTAGGAAAAACGTTTGACCAGATCTGGACACAGTGCAATGTAAAATAGTAATATATACTTAGCTAATTATTTGCTATGGATTCATTCAATTAAAAATATATAACTTTCAAATTACCATAAAAGTATCCCTTAATGGATGGGCTAGTTACATTAGTTAAGTATCTATTAATGTATGAGTTGGTTCTTAATGTTGGTAAGCGAGCTGGTCTAGTTGTTAGAGCGCGGGACTCCGGTTCCTGGGGTCCCGGGTTCAAACCCCGCCAAATCACCAATGGATTTTATCCATGTGATATTGCCGTGACTCCTAGGTCTGCCTAGCGTTCTAGGATAACAAAAATGTACGGGCTAGTAGTAATAGAACCTGCACCTTTACTGAATACCGTAATTCAATCAATAGGCAGTAGTGTGATATTACTGCTAGGTCAACTGAAGTGTCAAATTTAAGCGTAAATGTAATTTAAAATAGGCCTACTTTGTACGATTTGTTATAAAACAATAATTACTCAAAATAAAAATAGCTTATCAATTGAAAAACAAAACATTATTATACATATAAAAATGTAAAAAAAAACATGTTTATTGTCACAAATATGATTACATAAATCATAAAAAGGCCGATAATGTTTTCGAGTGTTTATTGAGCAGAAAAACAACTTGCAGCAATCAAGTAAATGGTTCTACTGGGTCCTCCCAATCAGTTCAATTGCTTGTTTCTTTGGTGGCGCGTTCACGTACCTCTGTGTCCAGTTAAAGCAATATCTATAAATTACAGTATTTCATTAGAACAGAGATCAATGTTAGGGTGAAGCTTTCCAACATGGTTTTAGTGGTGATTGCTAATATAGAAACAGTTATCTTTGCCCAAGAGACATTTATTCCATTGAAAGTAAAAGAGAATATTAGGTAATGGAAGTATTTTGACATATCAGAATGTTTAGACATATCATGTTTCTCCTCCTTAATTATATTTGTGTTTACCTCTTTAACAAATTAATATAATATTATCTTACGAGACTCTTATCAGAATCATTACTATTATTATTAGTAAGCGGCATTACTATATTTTGTTGGCAAACCAGGCATTAGGTATAGTGTCAGGCAAATGATATTCAGTGAATACGTTGCACTATTGTAAAGAAATTTTGAAAATTCAATTTATAGGAGGAAAGGTTAATTTCTGAAATTTTACTTTTAATCCTTAACACGATAGGTAATTATACTATGTAAGCTAGGAAATAATTAATATTTAATAAACTGAAACTATAAAAATAAACTACAAATTCTTAGAAGATAAAACTAGGTGATAAGCATGTATACGTTAGGTTTTAAGCGGAGTTGGTAGAGAAATCCTTGACTAAATTGAATTTAAAAACTCTTTGATTTATCTGATTAGCTAGTTAAGATTAAAATAAAAATAAAAGCAAGTAGACAATTCTAGTGAAACATTTCTTTTGTAATTCATTTTTATTAGTTTATTTCACTCAACGATTGGACATTTTTCAATAAGACTAAAAATCTAGCCTGATTTTCGTAAGATAACTTTTAATATTCCTATCCAAAAAATAATAAATTTAAAGAATATCTATTAAAACTAAAATTTAATCACAGATCTTCTTGAGTAATACTACGTTTTGTGATAAAAATATAACGATGCAGTGTCGTTTCATATTATGTTGTGAGAAAGAGAAATAAATGCTTCTTAATATTCAAATGAATACTAGAACTGGATGCACACAAAAAAGGTGTGTCTGTCTTGCAAAGTTTGCGGACGTCGTAGTGCAATAAATATTTCATTTCTATGTTTAAAGATTGATTTTATGATAATATTTTGTATGGAAACTATGAAATTTAGTCTGATATGTCCAAATAATTTAAAACGGAATAACACACGTATAAGTGTGTTTAATACGTTTGACTTATGTGTAGTTTTCAAATGGGAAATACTTAAAAATACTTCTTCAATAATAATAATTCAGAGTAAAAATAACCGTAAGCTAAAATTTTTCTTGCATGCAATATAATATTTTATGTAGTTATTTAGATTAATGATGCATAAAAGTATTGATCATATTACATTTTATTTAGTATATTGCATACATTTATACTTGCATACACACTATTTTATGGTGAGCTAATGCAAAATAATCATTGGTTTGTAAAAGTCTGATACACATGAACATGAAAAGTTACGTTTAAAATGGCGTGTTTTATAACATGTGTTAGTTTGATGAATATATTTACTGATATTGTTATCGATGTATACACAAACAGCATAGATACGAAAAAAAATATTTTCCCTGAAAGTTCTTCCCAGAGAGACATTGTTGCCAATGTCATGATCAACTGTAAACTAAACACATATCATTACTGATAATGGAATTACGTATTAAATTATATTCCCAACGTAATTAAAACCTGAAATATTTACCTATTGGGAATCGTAACGCCTAGTACAAGTTCGTGCTCCTACATTGCCACACCCTGTATTACATGCGAGGGTTTAACACAGGTGTTCAACCAAA